GAGAGAGAGAGAGAGAGAGAGAGAGAGAGAGAGAGAGAGAGAGAGAGAGAGAGAGAGAGAGAGAGAGAGAGAGAGAGAGAGAGAGAGAGGGCACAATGCTGTGAAGGACATAGGAGAGAGAGAGAGGCAATGCTGTGAAGGAGAGAGAGAGAGAGAGAGAGAGGGCACAATGCTGTGAAGGGCATATGAGAGAGAGAGAGGCAATGCTGTGAAGGGCAAGAGAGAGAGAGAGAGAGAGAGAGAGAGAGAGAGAGAGAGAGAGAGAGAGAGAGAGAGAGAGAGAGAGCACAGTGCTGTGAAGCGCATAGGAGGCTTAGCAGATTGACAGTCAATAGCTTGAAAGGTACCCATGGACACGTAGGAAGAGGGAGCCATAACTTTCCCTAAATCAGAATTGGCCATAGCTGATGAGAGCATAAGCTTGCAAAGGAGAATGCAAAGCGTTGGAATTTGGAGACTCCATACCTGCCCTGAAGCTGGAAATAGTCATCGCCAACGAGAGGCTGAGCTTGCAAAGGACGCTTCCTTTCTTTTTTGTTTTTCGGTCTTTCACCAACACATCTACATGCCCCGTCTATTCTGGGGGGCGTCAGTCCGGTTGCCTATCATGGGCAAGCAGATGAAGAGAAGACGAAATGTCAGCAGCTCAGCCTCAGCCCTACTGTCTTTACCCGAATAGAACGCAGGGTCATTATAGCTGTACCTATGTCAACTTGCAGTCCAGATACAGCGATAACGGCCGGACGTTCTATTTGGGTGAAGACGGTAGGTGCATGACGGCTGTGCGTACCGTTTATTTAAGCTGAAAGGGCAGCCTGGTGTTTGATCGAGCATGCCCCTTTATCCAGGGGCTGTTTGCCACTTAGTGGCTGTGGCCGCATTAAAAAAAAAAAAAAAAAAAAAAAACATGTAGGGGTCCTTTCAGCAATGATTCCAATGCTTTGGAGTTGAGATGTTTGCTCTTCCAGTTTTGTTCGTCTTCAATCAATGCCTCGAAGCTTTTTTTTTGTCACCCTAATCTCCTTTGGCATCGTCTTCATGATTTTTATTTATTTTTTTTTTTTTTTGGTTGCTGACCTGATGGACGACGGATCAGATATTAAACTGATCAGAAGATTCAGAACAGATAAAGTGCACTTGAATTTTTTTTTGCCAGAAGGCGCAACAAAGGTGTGATTATGATCTTCAATAATGTTTGGCTGCACCCACCAGCAGGTGCGATACCTGCTACAGCAGGTGGGCGATACCGGCCAGGGGTCAGCCGGTAGCATCAGGACCGAGCTTCTTCGATGGGCCAGTCACNACCAGCAGGTGCGATACCTGCTACAGCAGGTGGGCGATACCGGCCAGGGGTCAGCCGGTAGCATCAGGACCGAGCTTCTTCGATGGGCCAGTCACTGTGCCTCCCCTCCGGTCCCCTCCCCCTATGAACATCAGCAGTCTCTGCTCAATGCCACTCGGGGGGACCAACGGCATATCTCTAGGTGGCGGGCGCCAAGCTTGCCCAGGAAGGTACATGAGGCCAATGGGGATTGAAGTTCATTGAATCCAAGACCTCCGGAATGCCACTTGCGTGCCTTACCAACTGAGCTAGGCCGCTGGATAAACTCAGGATTTCAATTACGTCTTTGTTTCTTTTTCTTTTCTCTCTTTCGGGTTTTGGTGTTTTAATCCATGGCGTCCCTCCACGAAGCTGCTTGTGCTCACTCTCCTTCCTTTCTTGGTTGCTTTTAAGTCTCTGTTTTTCTTTTCTTTTCTCTTTTGTGTTCCTTTTCCTCTGTGGACTCCCTCCACATAACTATTGGTGCCCATTCTCGGTTCTTTCTTGGTTGCTTCTTCTATTTTGAAAGGCTTGAAACACGAACCAAAGAGACTAAAAAAAAAAAAAAAAAGTTCATAGTACTTTATACCCATATCATATACAGCTGACAGGCTGTGGAAAATCTTGTTTTCTTTTTTGGTTAATGTCCAGATACGCGAGGTGCACGAGGT